TGGTCCGTAAATGTTTGAGAAAATAAATAACTTTCGTATTTATTTATATATTTTTGAAACCAACTTTCGTATCTATATAATACAATTTTATCATTTTTAGAAATTAAATATTCATGATTGTTAGTTTTAAACTTATATGCATGTTAGAAATTAGCATACATAGATATAATACTTTAAGGGTTATCGTGAAAATTATAGAATTTATTTGTTTTTAATTTTTGTATTTCTATTGAATTAAAATGCAAAACATGAAACATTATTGTTTGTAATTATCCACTGAAACAAAACATAGGTAGTTTAGATCATAGAAACGTTAACAAATAATGTAAAAGATCACTTAATTCGAGTTCGGTTTGTAATCAAGAGATACCAAAGCCGGAATCACTATACCTCACATGGAACCTTGAACACTTCTAGTTGTTTGCAGACTTGATATACCATCAAGACATCAACTGACATATCAACTATTAGACTTTTTTATAAAGCAAACAGTATACTAAATTGATATCAAAGCAAACCAAGTAGAACAATATTCTCGTTAAAAAATTATTGAAAAACGCTTTGTAGAGTGAGTGGAGATTTGTGATATATAGGTGAAGGGCATTGGGTTAGGGTTTGCCGTTTTTATTTATACGCAAAAAGCATATACTTATAAAATTAGAAGATGGAAGATTTCATTGTTGTTAAGAAAGGCATAATTGTCGCGATTTTCTTAATGATGCCAAAATTCCATATTTATATTTCATTTGTGGCAACAATAAAAGTAATTTATTTGAAAATTAATGATTGAATACTTAAAATTAATTCATTTGTGGCAATAGTTCTCATGATTTTTTTTTAAATTAATTCCATAATTCTCGTGATTTTCTTAGTAATATAACCGCAATAAATAGAAAACAGTGTATGAGTTTTTTTTAAGGGACAATTATAAAAATGCTACTTTTTGTGTGCACATTTGCAAGAATGCCACTTAGGGATGTCCATTTACAAAAATACCACTAATTATTGATTTATAAAGCCTATATCTTAAAATTCTAAATCCTAAAAACTGTTTTGATACCTAAAACCCC